TCCAGGCAGGTTCTCCCTAATACTAAGCACCAGACCTTAATACTAAAAACTACTTCACCTCCTTCCATTTCCCTTTCTAAAGCCCTTACTAAAACTGCTGCTTCTGTGCTGCCAGGCTAGCTCCAGGCAGGTTCTCCCTAATACTAAGCACCAGACCTTAATACTAAAAACTACTTCACCTACTTCACCTCCTTCCATTTCCCTTTCTAAAGTCCTTACTAAAACTGCTGCTTCTGTGCTGCCAGGCTAGCTCCAGGCAGGTTCTCCCTAATACTAAGCACCAGACCTTAATACTAAAAACTACTTCACCAGCTGGCATTTCCCTTTCTAAAGTCCTTACTAAAACTGCTGCTTCTGTGCTGCCAAGCTAGCTCCAGGCAGGTTCTCCCTAATAGTAAGCACCAGACCTTAATACTAAAAACTACTTCACCAGCTGGCATTTCCCTTTCTAAAGTCCTTACTAAAACTGCTGCTTCTGTGCTGCCAAGGCTAGCTCCAGGCAGGTTCTCCCTAATACTAAGCACCAGACCTTAATACTAAAAACTACTTCACCTCCTTCCATTTCCCTTTCTAAAGTCCTTACTAAAACTGCTGCTTCTGTGCTGCCAAGCTAGCTCCAGGCAGGTTCTCCCTAATACTAAGCACCAGACCTTAATACTAAAAACTACTTCACCTCCTTCCATTTCCCTTTCTAAAGTCCTTACTAAAACTGCTGCTTCTGTGCTGCCAAGCTAGCTCCAGGCAGGTTCTCCCTAATACTAAGCACCAGACCTTAATACTAAAAACTACTTCACCTCCTTCCATTTCCCTTTCTAAAGTCCTTACTAAAACTGCTGCTTCTGTGCTGCCAGGCTAGCTCCAGGCAGGTTCTCCCTAATACTAAGCACCAGACCTTAATACTAAAAACTACTTCACCTCCTTCCATTTCCCTTTCTAAAGTCCTTACTAAAACTGCTGCTTCTGTGCTGCCAGCTAGCTCCAGGCAGGTTCTCCCTAATACTAAGCACCAGACCTTAATACTAAAAACTACTTCACCAGCTGGCATTTCCCTTTCTAAAGTCCTTACTAAAACTGCTGCTTCTGTGCTGCCAAGCTAGCTCCAGGCAGGTTCTCCCTAATACTAAGCACCAGACCTTAATACTAAAAACTACTTCACCTCCTTCCATTTCCCTTTCTAAAGTCCTTACTAAAACTGCTGCTTCCGTGCTGCCAGGCTAGCTCCAGGCAGGTTCTCCCTAATACTAAGCACCAGACCTTAATATTAAAAACTACTTCACCTCCTTCCATTTCCCTTTCTAAAGTCCTTACTAAAACTGCTGCTTCTGTGCTGCCAGGCTAGCTCCAGGCAGGTTCTCCCTAATAGTAAGCACCAGACCTTAATACTAAAAACTACTTCACCTCCTTCCATTTCCCTTTCTAAAGTCCTTACTAAAACTGCTGCTTCTGTGCTGCCAGCTAGCTCCAGGCAGGTTCTCCCTAATAGTAAGCACCAGACCTTAATACTAAAAACTACTTCACCTCCTTCCATTTCCCTTTCTAAAGTCCTTACTAAAACTGCTGCTTCTGTGCTGCCAGGCTAGCTCCAGGCAGGTTCTCCCTAATACTAAGCACCAGACCTTAATACTAAAAACTACTTCACCTCCTTCCATTTCCCTTTCTAAAGTCCTTACTAAAACTGCTGCTTCTGTGCTGCCAGGCTAGCTCCAGGCAGGTTCTCCCTAATACTAAGCACCAGACCTTAATACTAAAAACTACTTCACCTCCTTCCATTTCCCTTTCTAAAGTCCTTACTAAAACTGCTGCTTCTGTGCTGCCAGGCTAGCTCCAGGCAGGTTCTCCCTAATACTAAGCACCAGACCTTAATACTAAAAACTACTTCACCTCCTTCCATTTCCCTTTCTAAACTCCTTACTAAAACTGCTGCTTCTGTGCTGCCAGGCTAGCTCCAGGCAGGTTCTCCCTAATACTAAGCACCAGACCTTAATACTAAAAACTACTTCGCCTCCTTCCATTTCCCTTTCTAAAGTCCTTTCTCAAACTGCTGCTTCTGTGCTGCCAAGCTAGCTCCAGGCAGGTTCATCCATGAGGTGGAGATTCATCCAAGAGCCACCGCACCTTTGCAATCCTCAGCCAGTGATTTACAGCCAGACAAGTCAGATCTCCAATCATCAGGCAGTGATTAGCACAACAGGTAGCTGTTTTAGCGTTCTTTCTTTTTTTTGGCTGAGCCACTTGTGCAGCCAAGGAACAGCAGACCCAGGTCCTGCAGGCAGCTCTCACCAGCTTGCAGGACATCCAGCAAGAACTCCACTTGGTGGGGAAAAAGGTGTGCTGCATGGAGCACCGCCAAGCAGCTAGGCAGCAATGATGTCCATCAGACAGGCAGCGAAGAATGTGCATCCCCCATTAATTCCTTAATTACCTTGCCATCATTAAATATTTACACAGTCAGAATTATATACATATATCTCCTCCTACATCCACCTCCTCATTATATTACTTATTGTCCCAACAGTATATATATATATATTATATATATACACATATATAGACTTCTCTCAGGACAGCTGGTACAGCTTCGGGGCAGACGTCAGCAGACACAGCCAGCAGATGCAGACGCGGACAGACAGATGGGCAGTGGCCAGACAGGCGTGGCTGACGCGCCTCAGACAGGCAGGCGTCCCTTTTTCGTGGTGCTGGCTCTGCTGCTCAGACAGCTGAGCAGCTAGGCAGCCAGACAGCTCCCAGCAGACAGCACAGAAAAGGGAGCAGCAGGAGAGGCAGGCTGGAATCTTGAATAATAGTAAAGTAATTAACTTATTACATGGGTCACCTTTAAATAATTACCAATAATTGCTGTTGTTTTGATGGGAAATATAAATTCAAGATTCCAGCCAGCTCAGACAGAAAGGCATCCCTGGCTGGCTGCCTTTCTGTCTGAGCTGGCTGGAGTCTTGAATTTGTTTTTTAACCCCCTAAAATTAAGGGAAACCCTTAACATAGGTGTTTATGGGATCTTCCAAATTCAAGACTCCAGCCAGCTCAGCAAGACCTTGCAGACAGCAAGGCAGAGGGGTGGCTTTTCAAGCAGCCAGACAGTTCCTTGCAGCAAAACATGCAGGCAGCTAGACCAGCCAGGCAGCTTGGATTTGGGGAGTAGGACTAGCCCCCCTAATACTAAACACCCCGGGATGAATTAGTTTTTAGTATTAGGGGGGAGAACCCACAAATGGTAGGTTGATTTTTGAATTGTTTTTTAAAGGGGATCAATTAAAAGTCAAATTGGCCAAACTGAAATTTTCGGAAATTGGAGATGGATGCCTGTTTTTAGTATTAGGGGGACGTTTAGTATTAGGAGGAAGGGATTAGGTTATATATTTATATATTTATATTTTCATATAGTCATCTACTCATACATGTATTAATATGTATATATATACTGCTGATCAGTTGCATGATTTCAAGAAGTCACCAGCCTCTTTCCACTGCGCCAAGATTGCGGTCCATCCCTGGCCGTGCTGCACAGCGTAGACACCCTCCGGTAATCAAACCTGTCATTGGAAAATCATCCATCAATCGAAGATTTTACACCTTTAAAATCTCCATTTATGAAGATTTCCATTTGATGGGCATTAATTCATGGGTGGTGTTATCATATTACTGATGATTTTCCGTTGCCAGGTTGGATTGTCTGAGCGTATCGAGTCGATTGAGTTGCAGGGAAAGGACAGGCGTGCTTTGATCAACAAGTCGCAGCTATATATTCAAAATGATTCAAAGCGAAGCACCATAGCCCGTGGATCGAATCGTATGTTTCAAAGTTCGCATTGGCCTCCAATTTATGCTGGGAAAATCATTTTGTGCCTACTTTCACCAATCCTTCCAGGTTGTAACTCCACGGGCCCGATTAGCCCCAACCTTGGCACAGCCATTGCGGTTGCACCCCCCAGGTCCAGCTGTGCTGCAGTTGAAGCAGCGGTCGGAACAAACCAGGCACTTCTCGTCTTGCAGGACAAAGCCCTCCCGACCTCGAGATCGACTTAACAATGCTCACTTTCAAAACATAAAGAGATGCGACTTATTGTCAAAAAAAATGCAAATCAAAAAATGTGAAGATTCATCATCCAAAAATTGCCTATGGGAAATCCAAAATGTGGAGATGGTTTTCCTCTTTTTGAGGGTTGTCATACCCCAAGCAAAATGGCAAGTTAGAATCATTTAGATCCCATTTTGCCAGGGAAAATGATGATTTTATTGGAGGTTTTGATGGGAAATATGAACATGGGGGTATAGAACCCATGAAAAATAAGGATCAAACAGGATTGCAATGGGCAATGGGGATTGAATTCGGAACGTGAATGATTTACTCCAAAAAGAAATAATTTTTGTGAGGAAAATTATGGTAAATATCGTGGGGCCTAAACTTAATGGGAATGTGTGAATTTATGATCAACAACATGGTTTCACCAGTTCGCCTATTGTTTACCGGTCAGTCCAGAAAAGGTGGTTTACTTCCAAGGAAAATAATGTTTCCATTTGAGAAGATTTAATGTTGACTCTGAAGCGAGTGACCACTCGGGGCTATAAAACCTAGGAGTTATTGGCGTTTGGTAGGGTATGATAGAATACAGTACGATATAATGGACTGAAATGATTCTTCCCCGCCTGCCATGAGGGTCTCTAGATTTTATCACAATGTAGCTCCACCTCCGCCTCCTCAACCGCAAGCCCCAGATCCCAGTAGGCACTGCCGGACCTCAGCCGCGAGCTCCAGAGCTCAGTGGGCACTGCCACATCTCAGTGGACCGCGAGCGCCAGATCGCAGTGGGCACTGCCGGACCTCAACCGCAAGCCAGACCTCAACCGCGAGTTCCAAATCTCAATGGGCACTGCGGGACCTCAACTGCGAGCGCAAGATGTCACACAGAAAGTCAGATAGAATATGTCAGAAGAGGTGTCAGATAGAATGCTTGATAGACTGTCAAAGAGAATGAATACACATCAAACAAAATGTCAGATATAATGCCAGATAAGATGTAAGAATATCTGCCAAATAAAATGTCAGATAGAATGCCAGACAGAATGGCAGAGAGAGCGTCAGAATAAAAGTCAAATAAAATGCCAAATAGAATGTCAGAATATGTGTGTATAATGTATGTATGTATGTATGTATGTATGTATGTATGTATGTATGTATGTATGTATGTATGTATGTATGTATGTATGTATGTATGTATGTATGTATGTATGTATGTATATGTATGTATGTATGTATGTATGTGTATGTATGTATGTATGTGTATGTATGTATGTATGTGTATGTATATGTATGTATATGTATGTATGTGTATGTATGTGTATGTATGTGTATGTATGTGTATGTATGTGTATGTATGTGTATGTATGTGTATGTATGTGTATGTATGTGTATGTATGTGTATGTATGTGTATGTAAGTGTATGTATGTGTATGTATGTGTATGTATGTGTATGTATGTGTATGTATGTGTATGTATGTGTATGTATGTGTATGTATGTATGTATGTATGCATGCATGCATGCATGCATGTATGTATGTATGTATGTATGTGTATATATATATATATCAAATAGAATGTCAGTTGGTGGGGATTACTCGAAGAAAGTGATTTTTATGTTGGAAAACGATAATAAGCATGAGATAACATGGAATCATGGAATATCATGTGTGCATACAAAACCAAGATTGGACCTTGGGTCAAAACCACTGCGCTAACAAAACGGATGGGCTTTGGACTAACATGAAAAACCATTTGTGCTTTCCTTGGTACCCTATTTTGACCCACACCCGCCTGAACCACACCATCAAAAAATCAGTTTGGTCATCGACCATTTCCTTTCTCCCCAAGATGTTGATTGCATTGTTCCACGGTGTTGGTGCGAAAAATGTGTTTCCAGGATCTTACAGATCATATATTTACTTCATGACCCTCATGAGAGACCCCAAACAGTGTGGGGGGGTAGGAAATCAGCGTAGGACATACACGCAGCAGTAGCTACGGAAACATTGGCATATCAGGTTCGTCATCATCCGAACTGCAGCAGAACTGCGCCAGCAGGACAAGAAAGAAGCAACGCTATGTCTACTGACCACGACCTCATACCAAGACCAGCAAGAGAATCTCGAAAAATCCGCATAGAAGGCCCTTTATAGAGGATCTTACACGGTCTTCATACGAGGACCTCCTAAGAGCATCCCAGCGGAGCTTTCATACAAGCACCGCGCATACAGGGCATCTTCAAGATCTTCGAGATCTTCATGCACGGATCTTCGAGCGTGTCCCTGCGATCAAGGGCCCCTGCATGATTGTGATCAAGGTCTTCATACCAAGACCTGTAAGAGAATTTCAGAAAATCGTCGTAGAAGGACCTGCTAGAGCGAGGACCTGACAAGACTTTAATACAAGAACCTTCAAGAACCTTCAAGAACCTCCAAAGAACATCCCAGAAACGCTATCAAACAAGCACCTCTAATACATTGCATCTTCAAGATCTTCACGCGAGAACCTCCTAAAGGATTTCACCAGGATCTCCACAATACCTATCACAAGGACCTCTACAATATCTCGCAAAGACCGCTTAAAGAGGATTTTAGCAGGATCTCCACAAGATCTTCTGACAAGGATCTCCGTAAGATCTTGACCATGGTCTTCATACCAAGACCTTTGAGGCAACCTCACGTGCTAGAAGGGACCTTTCAAGATCTGAATGCATGAGCCTCCAATAGGAGCATCCCACAAAAACTTTCCGCGCCTCTAATATGTCATGCAGGGACCTCTTCCCTTCTCAGAAGGACCTCTACAAAACCTTGGTCCAGATCTTCATGAAGGACATCCAAGGGCGCACTATGAGATTCTTGCAAGATCGTCGTAGGAGGACCGAGGACCTTTCAAAGAACTCATTAGATCTTTCGAGAGCGATCTGACACGCACAAAGTGACGAGAGGGTTGCACGAGCGAGATCAAAAATGAGCAGTGCGCGATCCGACACGCACAAGTGACGAGAGGGATGCGCGAGCACATATTAGAATTTCACCACATCCTGCGCGCGCACACCGAAAAATGAACATTGAAAATCTGAAAACCAATGTTTTACATGGTTTTGAACACTTTTTACTGAGGTTTCAGAGTACTGCGCCTGCCACATGTCCAAAACCAGCTGTCATTTCGACCCACGCCGCAACATGCAAAGAGCACCACGCCGGCCACGCGGATGAAGTATAAAATTAAAAAGTGTCCGATGTCCTCAAAATGCCCCGGAAGTCTCACGCCTGCCACGAAAAATGACATAGCTCAAAAAACGAGCACCGCACGCCGGGAAAAGTAGACCCTCGGACAAGACCAAACCGTTACCCACATTTTGCGCAAGCCTGCGCCGTCGAAATGCACACGGACATCTCACAAGGGAAGTTTTGCGCAAGCCGGCGCAAACAAAACGAGCGCCCCACGACCTCCTCACTGGCCCAACTGGCCCTGCCACCAGGCAACATTCCAAGCAACTGCCTGCTCCTCGGCAGGTCACGCAGCCCAAGCCGCAGCGCACGCAGCTCCCGCCCGCGGTCACACCAAAGTCCTGGTGGAAGGAGATTAATGAGGACATCATTGAGATATAATGCATAAGACCCACGAGTTATATAGGGATCCAACGGGATATATCATGGGATAAAATGGGAGACATGACAATTTTTTGGGAAATCATGGATGACAAAATCCACATGGCCACATGGATGTTTAAGAAATAGGCTGTATACTGTATATCCCATTTGGTGGCAATGGTAAAACGGGAAAATGAACCAAAAGGGTGTGGTGCACCAAAAATAGGATGCTCAACCAAAAAAAGGAAGTTGATCAACAAGCATGGGGCTTCAACGAACAAAAGTGGGGATGTTACCCAACAATAGTAGCAGGTGCTGATGTGCCAAGCAGACCCCATAATGGGACCAAAGGCTGTACAGTACAGTGGCAGTGATTCGCCAATGATTGGGGATGATATATGTGGGCAAAACTTGGAAAACTCAAGAATATCTTGGTAGAGCATATGTGTGTGGACTAATCTGTCTAACCTCGCTGGGAGAATCACAACTTGATCAACCAGCTGTACCCTTATCTCTCCCGCTCCTTATCGCATTTCTGGCCTGAGTCCCGATATCTCTAGATTTGGAAATGTTGCGGCGTCGAGGGGATACCTTCTTTCTTGACCCGGCCCTCACATTCCAAAGATTGCATGACTGCGTGGTATACGTATCTCTACAACAATGTCTTCGGTTGCGAAAGCAATACCACAAACTTGATCAAGAACCACTCCCGCGCATCATTGTCTCATCATCGTCATCGTCATCATGTTTTCCTCCTTTTTCCTCCTTGATGCTCATTTTCATCCCCATTGCAGATTTCTTGTCACGCTGTTCATAATCTCTCAGTTTGACTGCCAGCTAACACTCAATGTTTCCAAACAAATTAAAAGCATACATTGAACACATGTGGACTGCACAGTATGAGTACTGGCACTTATCAGATGACCTTTGGCTCGACTGACGCTTTTGAACCAAGCTCTTGCTCCATATCTCCAAAGCAAACCCTGATGTCTGGCTCAATCTTGTATATAAATTTCTCAATTCACTGTGCATCCATCTCTCCTCAGTAAAAATGCGTCAACAGCGTTTACGGTTGCATCTTTGCCTTTGCACGCTATGTGAACTTTGATGTTGCTACAAACCCATGTGAACACCGATCTTCCGGGAGGATAGCACATAGATTCATATTTATTATGTTAATTGTATTACATGGTGTATATATATATACATACCGTATCTCTCAGAACCCAATATGTTGCGAAAACCCTGTGGCGTCGGCCGAGCTGCAGATGTTTCTCTTACCCTCGCAAACTAGGCATTCCGCGGCTTCGCAGCGTTCACATTCGCGCCTGGATGGTGGCCATAGGATGCACTCTTGGTAGAACTGCAAATTTCCATGTTCAACAAGGCATTGGAATAATTTACAAATGTGGGGATCAGGATACCTGCCGTAGCTTTTGCGGATATCCGTGTGTTTCAACAGCTACAGCTACATTCTCTGATGAATGCTCGACTGAAGTCAAGACATCCGGAGAAACGATGGCAGGAAGAGGTCCTAGCCTCCTAGCCAAACAATTTCCAAACACGCAACCGAACTGCCCCAACTGCTCCAAAATAGGATTTCGACGCCAGCGCACTTCCGCAGGCACTCGTTTCATGGTGATTTCTGGGATGTGAAAAAAAAAATCCAGGCCAATTCGGCTCAGGAATTGCTCCGGGCAACCAGTTGCAGTCAGGGCGCCTGTTCGGAAAGCCTAAAAATTTCTTCCACTTTGTCCCAAAACCATCGTAGCAACCGTTCATATCGCAGGCCTGCAAGAGTGGACAGCTGATGACAGCTGGAGGAAGAAATCCAAGGATAGATGCAACATGTAAGACACTTGCAGTAGCAGTTCGGCTAAGTTGACCGATCTATTCCTACCTATTCAATCTCACTTATAAGGATCCCTGCAATTTATTCAATTTGAACTCTAGGTTGTAGTGGCCAGAAATGATGTTGCAAACGACCATGATGCAACTCTGTATGACTTCAGGGTGCTTTCGGTATAAAGTTGCATGCAGGGTTGCCCGTTAACAGCCGCTCCTCTGGCCCACTCTGGGTGCAATTCTTACAATTCGGAGCGCAGGCTTCGCATGTCCCCTCTTTCAGCACGTAAGCTTCCTGGCATCAACCCATGAAAGCAAACCGACCGAGAAAAAAAAACAGGCAAACACAATGGTTGCAAATTGCAAACATGCCTATATACATATCGTATATATATATATATTATACATGTGTGTGTTTGTTTCATTGTTTTTCATTGTGTTTCTGTCTTTCCGGGTGCCTTAACTTCGACAATTCTAATATCTATCAATTGGTTTTCAGTATTTTCCGAGGCATGCGTACGTCTTCTTCTGGGATTCACAAATGCCCGGTGCGCGTGGAGGTAAGGGCCATGACCATCACGGCAAACACGCCGTGAAGCAAAAGGATCGAATCTTCATCACATGCCCATCAACCAGTTTCCAGTTTTCAAACCACACCTGGAATTCTTGAGCGAGCCTTCCGTGGTTTCGATTGCTCTATTCCAGTTACCCAAGACAAAAAAAACTATCAAAGGATGCGCCACAAAATTTGAAAATAGGTTTCTGCGAAAGCTAACCCACACTTGCTAGCCTTGCTAGCACCCTTTTTCTGTCTTGAATTCAGGGCTGAGGTATCACAGATCCTCAAGCTGTAAACATGGCACACTGCAATACCACATCCCGCACGGTGTATTGTAACACCCTCCTCGGACCATGGTTTCCAGCGGTCTGTACTTTGCATTGCGTATTGGGTTCAACTCATTCAGTTTTCTTTACAACTCCACCTTCCACCACTTTGAAGCATCTGGTGCACAGTCGGAAGGTTTTGATATCGAAACTTCCAGCAGGTATTGGACATGTCTCACTTGCGTGGACTCTCACCGAATTTGGCGATGAAATACAACTCTTGCTTTGCGTGACGCCTCCGTTTCAAACGTGGGTAGCACACCGCGTCACTGTACAGACAGCAAAATGCCGTCAATCCAAATAGTACCGTCAAAAGATTGAAAGCCAGACTGCTGATCAACAACGGCCAGAACCATTGCAATCCGGAAGTACCCGGTTCAGTCAACACTAGTGGAACAAACGAACCGATGAGGTGTAACCCTCAAGTGTTTCACGCTAGCTACCGCGCTGTGGTGCTGCCGGATGTTTATCCTTGAACCCTTGTGTGGCTGCCATTCTCTTTTGTAGTTAAATTGTTTTCCTTCTCGAACACTGATCCTACTTTCTTCATGTGGGCTTTTCCAACGTTTCTATCTAAGCCTTCTTGCATCAAGTCTACCATTCCTAGGAGTTCTACGCCGTTTCTTACCTCCTCTCCTGTGTCCAAGTGTTTTGTCAATATGTCAACCGGGTTCTGTTTTCTATCTACCTTTCCTACGATTACCTGTTTCGTTTTCACAAGTTCTTGCACATACAAGTGTCCTATGTCCACGTGTCTTATCTTACCAACTCCAAGTTTTCGTGACGTTTGCAATGCTGCTGAACTGTGACACCAAGTTCGTGGTGTGTCAACATTCAAACCAAAATCACTCGTTGCTAAGTTCCGGGCGAAAACTGAGCTTGTGGCGCATTCATTCAACGCTCTCAGTTCTGTTTCACCTGAGCTTGTAGCTGGTGTTCCTGGTTGCGCATGCCAGCCGTTCCAGCCAGGAAGATGATCTCGCCACTGGTCGATTTTCTGCTCTCCTTGTCCCCGGCCCAATCACTGTCGCAAAATGCGTGAAGAGGAGACACGTATTGAACGTCCACATCCTCAGCGATCTTTGTCATGTGACCTAGGCTCTTGGTACCTTGGAGGTATCGAGCCAAAATTTTCAAACTGCCGACACATTCTTGGTGCTCTGGTTTGTCTTGCTAATTCTTTTACAGCAAACTTCACATCATCTCTGTCCTGCGACAGATAAATTACTAAACCAACGCAACTTGCAAATGTTGCTTTGTCCTTTTCGTCCAACTCTTTTGACTGTGTCAAGTCCAACTTCCGTTCAGGCACGGGACTGGGTTTGCAGTTCTCCATACCTAGCTGTTTCAGTATCGTTTCAATGTGTCTGTCGTTTGGCTTGGCTGTCACTGCTCCGTCAGTGTTGCCTCAGGGTCCCCCAAGAAATTCAGACATGCTGGTCTTTTCATTGCTAGGATACTCAAACTCTCCCATCTTCAGTCTGCAACCGTTTCTCGGAAATTGCACAGCAAGCAAATCTCTCAGCACTTCTTCTTTTCCTGCTATGTCAAAGTCATCTATGTGCTGGATCAAGACTGTGTCCGTCACATCACAGTGATATACGCATGCGTCGAGTTTCCCACGCTTGAAAATGTACCTTTCTTTCGGCAACTTCTGTGTCACAATTTCTTCAAGTCGATCTCTGTACTGGGCTGCTGCTGACTGTCGCCCATACGGATTTCCATCAACTTGCCAAACTATTGCTAACTTTGGAACTCCTTCCAGTTCCTTTTGCACCTCTTTGCTCTGAAGCGCAAACCATTCCTCGTAGTCGTCGAACCATTCCACTGGCGGTCTCATCATGCACGGCTGCCCATGTTTGTCACCCTGGTCCTCTGCGATCAAGAATGCTGAGGTAAGTTCTGCTTTAATCCTGGGCACTCCTTTCACCAAACTGTAGACCTCTAGGGGTTTACGTGAACATCCATGTGGTGTAGGACAGAAATTGCTTGGCGACTCTGAACTTGTCTTCAGGTTGCCCTCTTCGATTGAAGTCTTGGCATGTTAGCCTCGATTTTGCGACTCCTTCACTGACTTTGTCTACGCACTTGTGTCCAAAGACACAAATGTCTTTTGAGAGTTCTCTACCATCTCTTGGTGTGAAAGCACCGAACTCATCGTTCAGCTTTCTCAGCTCCTCCTTTCTCGCGTGGTGTCTTTCTTTCTCATCTACACCCAGCGTATCGAGGTAGTCCATCAAGTTCGCTACCATTTCTGTTTCGAAGATCTCTTTGTGCTTGTAATGCTTGACATCTTGCGGCGGAATCTTGGGTTTCTTGCTTGCCAAATCTTATCCATCATAAATCGCTTCTATGGTACTGACTCTGCTGTCATCGCTATTCATGCTGTCATGGGTTGGAATGTGCTGCACTGCTGCTTCATTCCATTCTGCCTCAGCTTGTGCCAACTGAGCACTCGACGAGGCATTGTCACCGGTAGTACCCGGATCTGCAGAGGTTGTACCATCCTGGGTCACCATCTTCTGCTTCTTGGGTACCTGTCCGGTGTTGGTCACGTCGCTGCTCTGGCTTCGATCACGGCTTTCCACATTCAACCTTGGTGGGGCTGGAGCATCTAGAGGTTTCGGTTTAGCTTTCATCTCAACTGCTGCTGGAGGTATTGTTGTCATCGGTGCTGAACCTTGCCTAGCCGGTGCAGGCGGCATAACAGGTGTTGCTGCCGATGGTCTCGCACTTTCTGCCATTGGAGCGGGCTCCAATAAGCACAACTTCTCGTTCTCCTCGATCTCCACCTTCTCCGAAATCATACGTTTCTTCTGCTCTGATTTCCGTGCCAGGTTCTGCAACTGAGTGATCCCCAATTGCCAGCGGTTTGGACCGGAGAATTCCAAGGAAGCCATTCCAAGGTGCTCCTCGTGCTCCTCGTGCTCCATCCAAAACTGCATTCAGGAAGTGGACGGACTGTCCTGTACGTCTGTGAACCTGCCTCTGAGCGTCTTGCCCGCGTAGATTCCCTTCACCCATCGCGGTGCTGCTTTTGGCATGTCCTTTCTTCTCGGATACTTTCCCATCACGGTCTCGCCAAGTGCAAACAGCTCACTCACATAGTCACTACCCGTGATGATCTTGTGTGCCGTGTTCTCGTTTTGTTGACATGGAAACGTGCTAATGTCCATGCGCTGTGTCTCACGATCCACGGAAACAAATAATGCTCCGGTGTGATCTTCTCAGCGTACTTTTCATTCAAGTCAAACAACCATGTTCTGATCTTGTCTCCAAGAAGTCCATTGATCATCTCGCCTTCTGCCATAGACTGTGGCGAATATCTGGGTGATCTCATCACCGTCACTTTGCCATGCATTTTCTCCTGCACCTTGTCTAACAGGTTGCCCATTGAGTTTTCACCATACACATGCAGAAGTATTTTCTCCCATCCAAGCTCATTCAACCATCTCATGAAGGCGTCCACCGCAAATGATCCTCCACCCTTGGTGGGAACCACCGTTGCGAATGGGTACTGACTGTCTTTGCAGATGCCCGTCAGGATGGTCACGAGCCCTTTTCTTTTGGATCTACCTTCTGCATCAACTATTTCTCCTTCTTTGGTGAAAAACCTGTAATCTGCATAGACTGTGCTCCTTTGACTCTTCTTGCCTTCTGTGAGGCTTGTCTCGCCCTTGTCCCATGACACATTTCTCGCACCATGGCTCGAAATTGGCGTGGTGTAGTTCATGCTGAGCTCTTTCTTCTGGTGTTGGCTGTTTTGGTGCCAATGCTTCGTGTGCTTGCGGTTCTCCTGCTTGGCCTTCATCCAATGCGTTGGGATGTCCTGCAACTTCTCGCCGATCTGGTTGTCCTGGCTCAAGCCCTTCTTGTGGTACATCTACGTCATCCTCAAAGATTCCATCTGGTCCACCTTCTTCTTGTACAACTTCTGGGTTTGGCTCTTTTGAAATTCCTTCAGCTGGTTCATCTTCTTGTCTGAGCTTGAAGAAGGTCTGACCGATCCATACCTTGCCCATATGCTTCTGAGATTGCCTTCGGTTTGTCCATTGACTTTCGTGCTCTTCGTACACGCCATCTTTGCAGTACGTGAGCTTGGTCAGTCGTCCTGGAAGAATCCTCAAACTTCAAAGGAAAATCGTTCATTCGACTGGGCATGAACAGACAGACTCTGGACTTGTTGTGTGTCCTCACTAAATAATAATACTCTTCTCCATGGATCACTTCCAAGCTCCATTCATCTGGATCTTCTCCATCATCATGTGTTCTCTCTGCAGCTTTGAATGGTGCAATCCTATTGCCTTTTGGTTTTGCGTTCGCTTGCTTCCCATGTGTGACTCTGAGATACCATCGCTTGTCATATTTCTCAAGCGGAATCTTTGCTTGAACAATGCACTTCATGACCTTTCTCCAACATTGCATTCACCGACACAGGACTTTCTGCTGCATCAGTCACTGTCATCTCAATTGCTCCTTCCCTGCTTCCCACAGTCACGTGCGGGTATTGCTTCCCATAGGCCTTCAGCGGATTGCCCCTGCACACGCTGTAGAGCGGCTTGGCTTTGGAGCGGTCGATTGGCCTGACAAAATCTCCACTCCTTGCCACATTCTTGCATGCCCCGGAATCCACCAAAAAGTAACCTGCTCCCGTCACGCTCATTGACTGCAGAAACCTTTTGGAGGTTGTCATTGACGGTGAAAACCACACTGTCATGACTGTACCCTTCATGGGTTGCTCCCACAGTGCTTGACCCACCTGTGGATCCCTTTTGCTAAGCCGATGTGGCTATCTCATTCTTCTGACTCTCAATACTGCCAATTTTCCACCAGCAGTTTTCGGCTATGTGACCATACTTCCCACAACTGCGGCACTGTTTGCCTGCATGGGGATTTGCCACATTTCCTTTGCCTTTTCCGTCGGATTTTCCTTTGTCCTTTCCTTTTCCTTTGTCACCTTTCCCTTTGCTCTTTCCATCTGACTTGCCTTTTCCTCCTTTTCCTTTCACATCTTGCTTTTGCCATGAATTGCTCTGCCAAGAGTCTTTCCCTTTCCTTTTGACCCGCTGTGGTCGTTGCCTTTGTTTCCTTTTCCTTTGCCTTTGTTGTCAACGGCTCCAATATCCAATATCATATCCATTGGGTCTGGACCTTGGTCGTCAGCAACTTTGTTTGCTACCTTTGTCAGTCCAAACTGTGATCCTTGAGGCCGTTTCCAAAGGTTCTTGTTGATCAAGTACTGCTCTATGTAGCCCTTGATCTTGGCATAGGTGTTCAGCACATCTGAGTGGGTAAAGACGCTTTGCTGCGACTCTTTCGGTGCCATATGCGCTATGATCGACACCTTCTCATCTTCCGCGAAATCTGTTTTGAATCGCTGTTCAAACTCTCTGAGTTCCGACTCCCATTGGTGCAACGCAGAAGCCCAGTGCTCTTTGTCGCTCGGGAAGGTGGGATTGGCCAAATGCCTTCGCCACACCCAAGCTTTGGTGCGATAGGCTGGCTCACTCAATTTCACCAACCTTCTCCATAACTCAAACCCATTGGCATCGTTCAAACCTTGACCAATGACATTCATTGTAGGCTCCGGACGGTATTGCATGAGGAAAGTATACATCGCCTTAGCAACTCGATTTCAGTGTCAACTGGGCTGTCATATTTTCCAAACTTGTCCAACAAACCTGGATAGTCACCATGAATGGTGGATGACATGAATATGTGTTTGAACTTTTCCCATTCTTCCTTCTTGCCATTGTATACGGGCCGGCTGCCTGATGCCTTTTCTTCCAAAGCCTTTGTTTTCTTATCCAAACTAGTCTTTCTTGCTGGCTTTCAAAAGCGGTATGGCTCGTTTTGGCCCTTGGGCTAACTCGTTTGCTTGTGCAGTTAGCTTTTGAATTCTCGCTTGCATTTGCGCTACGAGTTGAGGATCAGCTGCCATCTTTTCTCTGTGGCCGATCCTGTTCACTGGACTCTACTGTCCTGTGCTGTACACTATTTTACACGCAGACTACCTACCCTATCCTAGCTGAGCCTACCTGCTACCCGCGGTAGTACCCGCACCAAGGATTGGTGTGGTGATACCCAGCAACCTCCCTAGGTGTTGTAGTAGTCCTGCCACGTCCACTGCTTCTGCTGTGGTGGTGTTCGGTCCGTCCAGTTGGTGTCGTGGGACTCAACGGTGTAGTCGCTCTAGTTCGACGACCAATTGCATCTCCTTTCTTCTCCTTGAACTGCAGGTGCTTCTTCTGCTCATTCGGCTGGGGCGGTCGGCACCTCCTGTTTCACAGTGCTCGAAGTCCCAGGCTCGTTCTTCACCTCAGTCTCTTCCTCACTGCTGTAGTACACAGTGGTGGGCCTTGAGCCACACGCTTTACAGCTTCGCTCTTCAGGTAGGACCTTCTGGTTCCCTTACCTGGGTTTTGTGCGATCACCGTCGCTAGTCCAGGGTGCTTCTCCTGGAACTTCTTGTGAGGCTGAAGCGGTGTCGTTCACGAACCCGCTGCTCGAAGACGACCCTTGCCCAGGCTGTGCTTGTAGGGCTAGAGCTTCTCCGTAGTCCAGGTCCTCGGCCCTGAGGGCAGCCACAGAACTATGCAACGCTGCTGTGGCACCGCGCGCCCCAAAAGGCCACGCGGCAGCACCCGCAGGCAACCCGGTCGTAACCGGTGGAGCGGCCCCTGTCGGCAGGGTAACCAGCTCCGCTACCATGCGAAAGCTAACCCACACTGGCTAGCACCCTTTTCTGTCTTGAGTTCAGGGCTGAGGTATCACAGATCCTCAAGCTGTAAACATGGTACACTGCAATACCACATCCTGCATGGTGTATTGTAACAGTTTCCCAAAACTTGATGGCAGATCGTCATTTTCCATATTGAAGTTGCACTTTGGGGGGGTAATCCTGAAGCGAGTGATTTCTTGGAACAGCTGAGTCCTGACATTCAACGCAGGCATCTCGTGAGTGGCATGACAAGCACGCTGGGCCGCAAGGATCACACTTGTTTCCCGCGGGATCCTCACAAAAATGCGACACCAAGACTGTTGAGATAGCATCAATGCGGAACCAAGGACAAAGCCTGCACTAGAACTATCATGAATCAGAATCACTAGACGACGGATGGCCCGAGAGCGTAGAGGAGCAGGGTCTTCTCTTGTTAGTATGGAGACACCATATTAGAAACAATATATTAAAGATGTGTTATATGCAGTCGAGAAGAGGAGTATTAAGACAAAATAGCAGAAGTGCAAGACAATAGTTTGCATCGCAAACACTTTTACACACAAAAGCTTTTACACACAGACGCTTTTACATACAGACCCTATTACGCACAGACCCTTTTACACACAAACACTTTGACACGCAGACACTCTTACACACAGACGCTTTTACACACAGACGCGTTTACACACAGACCCTTTTACACACAAAAGCTTTTACACACAGACGCTTTTACACACAAAAGCTTTTACACACAGACGCTTTTACACACAATCACTTTTACACACAGACACTTTTACACACAGACGCTTTTACACACAAAAGCTTTTACACACAGACGCTTTTACACACAGACGCGTTTACACACTAACACTTTTACACACAGACGCTTTTACACACAGACCCTTTTTACACACAGACGCGTTTACACACAGACCCTTTTACACAGAAAAGCTTTCACACACAGACGCTTTTACACACTAACACTTTTACACACAGACGCTTTTACACACAGACACGTAAAATCGCAATTTTTCCTCAGTTTTTGACGATCGACCCTCATTTCGTGCGAAAGGGTTGCTCCAGGACAAGTGAAATCGCAAATTTACCGCAGTTTTCGCCGATCGACCCTCATTTCGTAGGAAAGGGTTGCTCGGGGACAAGTAAAATCGCAATTTTACCTCAGTTTTCGCCGATCGACCATCATTTCGTGCGAAAGGGTTGCTCCGGCACAAGTGAAATCGCAGTTTTACCTCAGTTTTTGCCGATCGACCATCATTTCGTGTGAAAGGGTTCCTCCGGCACAAGTGAAATCGCAATTTTACCTCAGTTTTCGCCGACCGACCCTCATTTCGTGCGAAAGGGTTGCTCCGGGACAAGTAAAATCGCAATTTTACCTCAGTTTTCGCCGATCGAACCTCATTTCGTGTGAAAGGGTTGCTCCGGGACAAGTAAAATCGCAATTTTACCTCCGGGACAAGTAAAATCGCAATTTTACCTCAGTTTTCGCCGATCGACCCTCATTTCGTGCGAAAGGGTTCATTTTTCGTGACTCCCCGCCGGCACCACCCTCGGCCTGAAGAGAGAAAGATAAGGGAGGCGAGAGAGAGAAAAGGGAGAGAGAAAGGAGAGAGAGAAAGGAGAGAGGAAAGAGGAGAGAGAGCGAGAGAGAGCGAGAGAGAGAAGATGCGAAGACGAGAAGGCGCGAGAGAAGGGGGGTGGGCGGATGTGGGGATGGGAAGGTGTGAGAGAAGATGTGAAGATGAGAAGGTGTGAGAGAAGATGTGAAGATGAGAAGGTGTGAAGATGAGAAGGTGAAGATGAGAAGGTGTGAGAGAAGGTGTGAAGATGAGAAGGTGTGAAGATGAGAAGGTGTGAAGATGAGAAGATGAGATACAGACCCCCACTATTGGAAGAACCCTGCGCTCCGACGCTCTCGGGAAAAAATGTATCTCTAAGTGTGAGTATATATAGTGTGTATATATATATATATATACGACATATGTATAGATACACACGACATTGACATATTTATATATATATATGCATCCAACGAGTCCCCGGGAATTCGGGTGCAGAAGTTTGAATATTAAAACCTATAAGGCTAAAAACAGGGATGTTAAACAACCCTGTGTGAGTTGCAGAAACCATGATCTCTTGATATTTCCGTCATCTGACATCTCCCCTTGACATTTCTGGTTCTTGGTTTTTTGTTGAGATTTCCTTCACATCTCTTCCCTCCTCTTCTCATCCCCTTTCTCTCCTTCTCAGCCCTTCTCTCAGCTCCTCTCAGCTCGTCTCAGCTCTATCTCAGCTCTTCTGCGCTCTTATCAGCTCTTCTCAGTCTCAGCTCTTTGCAGCTCTTCGCGTTTCTTCTGTGCAAAGCACAAAAACAGCAGCGCATCGACATACATACATCTAAAGCCACCTTGGCGCATTAAGCTGCTGCGACTTGCAAGCAGCATGTTTCGAAACACAATAGAACCCACGTGCGGCAGGAACATAGAGCAACATGCAGCCACACCGCGGCGAAGTGCAAGCAGACAGTTGCAAACACACAACAGAGCCACATGGGGCAAGAGAGCATCGACCAACCTGTGAAACATCATGTCCACTGCAGGAGCCGATCCCAGCGGGACCGTATCATTTCGAAACTGTCGCGCAGCAGTCCTTCCCTATCCATCTTCAGTCCTCAAAAATATAGGATTTCGCGCATCCACTAACTCTCAAAAATATGTTTCGTCCGAGGCATCCTGCAACTTGCACTAGTAAAAAAGACGCTTTTGTGCGAGACCTCCTTCAAAAAGCTGCAACTTGGAGATGTGAAAAGCAAGCTTTTTCGTGCGAGGCCTCTTTCGAAAACTGCAAGTTAAAGTTGTGCAAAACTAAACTCTTTTCAGCTCTTCTCAGCTCTTCTCAGCTCTTCTCAGCTCTTCCCAGCAGCCGTAGCATGGAAGTTTCTCTCCTAAGCTTCCTTTGAACATTATATCCACGGCATTTCAGTTCATTGCAATATCATTACATCTCGTCATTCCATACTAAATATTTATATAACATTCATATTATTATCATTATTATCATTATCATTATCGTTATGATTATTATTGTTGGTATTACTATCATCGTCATCATCATTATTACTGTTATTATTAACATTATTATTATCATTATTATTATTATTACTATTATGTTTATTATTATTATTATTTTTATTATTATTATTATCATCATTATCATTATTATTATTATTATTATATATATATACATATGAGGAAAGATATGTAGAATAGAACATTGAGCGCCCCCTTGTCCAAGATCGTTGACCTCACATGACGCCCACTTCCTGCAGCAGTGCAAAACCCGATTCGCACTGGGTGCAGTTGGCGCTCCCGTCGCATTCCAGACCTCACCCAGGTGAACTGCTCCGTTGGGGCAGGATGGATTGCTTTAAACCAACCAACCACCGAACATTTGAGGCCGCTGGAATTGGTTTGTAAACCCCTTGATACAACTATAGACATATGATATATGATGATATATGCGTTTGTCTGAAAACTATGGGAAAAAAAACAGCCGGTTGATCATCATTCTCCCATTGAAAAGGCAATTTTGGCATTTTGAACATGAAACATTGAATTTTCAACTATCCAAAATGGGGATGTGGGGGATGTGATGTTGAGCGTAAGAAACTGGGATCTAGCCATAATAAATGTAGCTTTGACCATGAAAAACTGGAAATCTACATTTGAACAATGGGATCAGAATCCATTCGTGGTTTCTATGATGTTGATAGCTGTCCCATGTGACATTCACCAGTCCCTACTAATAGGAAGTTCTCACAGGGTGTTATCTGCCAAATTCCAACCCCGTCCTATCCGATTTGGAAAATAATGTTCCTGATTCAATGGCCATAGACTGGGGTGTCCCTGGTGTCTCTCCATACACACAGAGCGGGACATGACATTGGTGAACGTACCTTCCCCTAAAACAATCCCACTGTGGAAATGGCATCCGTCAAGGTCCAATCACCCAAATAAGAACCAAACAAATGTTTGAAAGACTATGCTTGCACTGAGCCTCACACAGTGTGAATCCATGCATTTCTCGCATATGCTATGATCCACGAGGCCAAAACCAGGCTCGCACTCATTACCTTGGTGCTAGTGGGGCCGCGATCACTGCACCAGCATACCACAGCTCCCCCTGAGGGTGGTACATGGCACTCGACGTGGCACCTCCAGCAGCAGATGGACTGGTCATTGCTGCAGACCCCACATTTCACAAACCAAAAATGCGGGCTCCCGCCTCAAGGGTGCTCAAGAGGTTGTGGTCACAGTTCTTGCAATTGGCACTACCACAGGCCGCACAAACATGCACTTGATGATCACTTTGCGCGTAGTTGAGCAGGCCAAATCCCACCTGAAACATACATCGAGTCCACCAGGCAGATTTTCAGATGTCTTTCCGCCCTGATTCCGTTTCAAATACCTTTCGCAACCGTGAAACGAACCCATCACTGCTCAGCCACAATCCCCGACCTTGCACTCCGAACACTGGGATGCGTCCATTTCGCAAATGAGACAATCTGGCGGCGGGTGCTGAGGGTGCTGAAACCAAATGAGATGGGGGTGTATCTCCAAGATCTCCCATCCCTGGCTCTGACCGTAGTGGATATCTGATATCTGATGACAAGAGTTCCCGGTCTGCGACATTGGACAACTCTAGTGCGAACAATGTGAATGATATAGCGGTCTAACTTGGTGAGTAGAGCTGGAAAAGTGCATAAAGGGCAGAATCAGAATGCCCCATCAAATTTGGAGATGCATTGACGTCTTGCTTAAAGATAAGGAGGTACAAGCGAGCATGGTCCTTTTACTTAATGCCAAAGACCATCCTGGTTCAGTTTCCCTGCTGTCAAGCTGCAGATGACAAGGAGTTGTGGGATCAATCAAATGCAGAATAAAAACCAAATATGTTCTATCGCGCACGAGGATATCTGTTGAAAATTCAATCTATCTAATGTCCGAACGACCCTTTGGGTTTCCAGAGACATTTCCTACCTTTAACATTCCAGATCATTCCAGACAATGTGACTGGCTGCCCACGAGTCATGTCGGTTGTCACTTAAGTTCTCCATTAAGGCCTTCTGTACATGCTTCGCAGGTGTTCTCGTCCGTGATTCTGTACCCTTCCTGCAGGGCAGCGATTTTAGGCAGGACATGACCAACCTCCCAAAAAAACGTTACCAGATGTCAAGTATGAAAGAGGTACCACCTTCAGCCCCGCTATAACCTTCTGATAGTGCGGAAGCTTTACAGTAGAATGTCCCCACAACACTGGATCTTTCACGAAGATAAAAGGAGGCTTTTGCCAGCAAAATTGGTATCTTTACCATGTTTTCAATCCCCCAAAGTCCACCACCATCATGTCAAGAAACGGCAACAAACACAACTCTTTTCACCTATCCCATTGATGCCATTGACGCCATTGACGCCAAACACGTTCCTTGCACTTCCGGCACTGCCCCAGGTGGCTGCAGAGTTCACAATTTGCTGGACACTGTCTGCTGTGCAACACGTTGGACACGGCAGGTCGGGGACTCAAGGCGCCTGCGCCGTTTCGAGCTGATTATGTTTGAACGATACGGAGACAAGGGGAAGCCGGGGAAGCTGACCCAAAAAACGATTCTGATTCACCATCTTGAGTACTGCAAACTGGGGCAACTCAAGCTTCAAGGTTCCACTTGATTGTTCGATTTTTTTCACAGGCCATCAATTCAATCCTCTAACTCTGAGAAATCCAATAGGTCAGTTTGAATCACTGTGCATGTTAATCAGTAAGCGAAAGAATGACCCCGTGTCCACCCTTCATTGAAAACCCTGACCTGTCTTCGGGTTCTCAGCGATGGCGTAGATAGCAACTTCTTTATCCCACGGAAATGGAAAGATGTGGATGTTCGCAAGGTATGGAAAGGTTTGTTTGTACATCCTTGGTGCAAACCAGGCCAGAGCCAAAAACTTCGGTTCTTGGAAGCATCTCCTGCTGAGGCACAAAAATTATCAGCAAATGGTCGCATGCATCGAAATTGGGTGCTGCAAAATGGGATCCTCCCCTATGAAATTTGGTCGTTGACAACAGCAACATCTTATCGTTGACAACATCACTGAATCAACGAGCCAACTATTTACACTTCGCATGGGATAAGCCGGATAAGCCATGGGCCCGACTTCTGGTTCTGCCGGGTCCCGCTTCGGGCCCTTCGGGATCCGGTCCCAACGCGCTCCAACTGGCTCCAACCATCCCTGCCAGGCTGCGCTACTCCACCCTGATTTTGCGAAAGTTTCTCGAAAACATCTTGAATCTGTTGGGCCTGCGAATCTCGGTCAGCACATGGCGCTGCCTTTGGACCGAAGCCAACCGAAGCAAAACCAAGGCCAACCAATAGCCACCTTTGATGTCAAACTAAGAATCTGGTTCAACAGTTAGTTGCAAATCCAAGAAGTGAATCAAATATTCCGTGAAAAACTGCCATAAAATGTCCTAAAATTAACATGAAACGTCAACATGTGAGCAAAACCAATCATATGGTTGGCCATCTTCCCAATATAGTATAGACAGAAATTCTCATTCAAATTGCCACAACCATGAGGTTCCCACGGAAAATGCTCTACGGTTGAAATTCCCACAACGGAGGTCACGGACCTCGTAGCCCCGCTGTTGCATCCAAGTCATCAGCTCCAAAGGATGGACAGCCACACGGCCTGCCCATTTCCAATCCCAGACATGACTATTGGACTATTCATGTCTATCATAGTCTATATGTATAAATCATATCATATGTGATATATCATATATCATATATCATGTATCATATATCATATATCATGTATCATATATCATATATCAAGTTCTTTATGTTTGTTTGTATATTATATCATAATATGTATGTATATAAATATATCATATCTAATGTTCTTTATGTTTGTTTGTGTATATTATATCATAATATGTATGCATATATATATCATATCTAATGTTCTTTATGTTTGTTTGTATATTATATCATAATATGTATGTATATATATATATCATATCTAATGTTCTTTATGTTTGTTTGTGTATATTATATCATAATATGTATGTATATATATATATATATCATATCTAATGTTCTTTATGTTTGTTTGTGTATATTATATCATAATATGTATGTATATATATATATATATCATATCTAATGTTCTTTATGTTTGTTTGTAGATTCTATCATAATATGTATGTATATATATATATCATATCTAATGTTCTTTATGTTTGTTTGTGTATATTATATCATAATATGTATGTATATAAATATATCATTTCTAATGTTCTTTATGTTTGTTTGTAGATTATATCATAATATGTATGTATATATATATATCATATCTAATGTTCTTTATGTTTGTTTGTGTAGTATTTTATATCATAATATGTATGTATATATATATACATCATATCTAATGTTCTTTTTGTTTGTTTGTATATTATATCATAATATGTATGTATATGGTCAGTGCCGGAATTATAGAACGGAAGTTGAGGAGGACGAAGGTACGGTTATTTACCGTACCCTGTTGTTCTATAATTCTGTTTTCCTCGGAAGGTATGAAAAAAAATGTATCTGATCTTCCTCCTAATTTTTTTCGTCGTTCTATAATTCTTGTCGGAGCGCTGTTGTTCTATAATTCTGTTTTCCCCCATTTTTCTCACATTTCCCATTTTCGTTCTATAATTAATTTTCCCCGGGCCCCGTTCTATAATTAATTTTTCCGTCGAACGGCAAAATTAATTATAGAACGGAAAAATTAATTATAGAACGGAAAAATTAATTATAGAACGGAAAAATTAATTATACTGTAGGTGCCGGAATTATAGAACGGAAGTTGAGGAGTACGAAGGTACGGTTATTTACCGTACCCTGTTGTTCTATAATTCTGTTTTCCTCGGAAGGTGTGAAAAAAAAACGTATCTGAATTTACTCCTAACTTTTTTCGTAGTTCTTGTCGGAGCGCTGCTGTTCTATAATTCTGTTTTCCCCCATTTTTCCCACATTTCCCATTTTCGTTCTATAATTAATGTTTCCCGGGCCCCGTTCTATAATTAATTTTTCCGTCGAACGGAAAAATTAATTATAGAACGGAAAAATTAATTGTAGAATTATAGAACCTCTTCCGGGGTCCCAGAAATCCTATAAAATCACCATGAAATCTAAGAAAATCACCGTGAAATCCCATAAAATTACCATGAAATCCCATAAAATCACCATGAAATCTTATAAAATCACCATGAAATCTAAGAAAATCACCTGGTAAATGTGGGAAAAATGGGGGAAAACAGAATTATAGAACGGAAGTTGAGGAGTACGAAGGTACGGTTATTTACCGTACCCTGTTGTTCTATAATTCTCTTTTCCTCGGAAGGTAGAAAAAAAACGTATCTGAATTTACTCCTAACTTTTTTCGTCGTTCTATAATTCTTGTCGGAGCGCTGTTGTTCTATAATTCATGGACCCTATACCCCCCCCCAGACCCCCCCCCCTGAAATCACAGGTTGGGAAATGAGTTGGCTGTTTGAGACTACTTTTCGCAAGGTTGGTTTAAACAACGAGCCGAAACATCATTCGGATGTAAGATTCGATTTGTGTTTTTTCCCGATTCTATTGCAGCTCACCGAAGCCCCCACTGAGCCCTTACTAAAGCCTTACTAAGGCCTTACTAAGGCCTTACTAAGGCCTTACTAAGGCCTTACTAAGGCCTTACTAAGGCCTTACTAAGCCACTGCTGCGTGTTTACTGAAACTCCTGAGACGTTTTTTCTTAGAGGATCCTGTTCCTCTTGTCCGCCTTCACCACTTTTCGCAAACACATGAAGTCTTACTAAGGAGTCCAGGGTACTTAGTAAGCATTCCTGACCTGGGTAAGTGGCTAGGAAGTAGATCCTAAGGTGTAAAGGCTGCTAAGGCCTTACTAAGTAGGTAGTAGCTACTTAACATATATGCTAGTAGGGGGGGGGTATAGTGTCCATGAATAATTCTGTTTTCCCCCATTTTTCCCACATTTCCCATTATCCTCATGTTATCCTCATTTTATCCTCGTTATCTCATCAAATCCTCATTTTATCATCATTTTATCTTCATTTCCTTATCAAATCCTGATTAAATCCTCATTAAATCTTCATTTTATTTTCATTTCCTCATCAAATCCCCATTAAATCCTCATTTTATCCTCATTTTATCCGCGTTTTATTATCATTTCCTCATCAAATCCTCATTTTATCCTCATTTTATCCTCATTTTATCCTCGTTTCCTCATCAAATCGTCATTTTATCTGCATTTTATCTTCATTTTCTCATCAAATCCTCATTAAATCCTCATTAAATCTTCATTTTCTAGATTGTATATGTACAAATATGCAGTAAATATCATGTCAGTGCCAGAAATTATAGAACGGAGCCAGGAGGACAAAAGTACGGTAAAATACCGTACCTTTGTCCTCCTCCCCGTTCTATAATTAAATTTCCCGACTCCGCTCCGAATCGGAACCCGGAGGAGGACAAAGGTACGGTATTTTACCGTACTTTTGTCCTCCTGGCTCCGTTCTATAATTCTGGCACTGACTGTATATATATATATATATCATATCTAATGTTCTTTATGTTTGTTTGTAGATTATATCACAATATGTATGTGTATATATATATATCATATCTAATGTTCTTTATGTTTGTTTGTATATTATATCATAATATGTATGTATATAAATATATCATATCTAATGTTCTTTATGTTTGTTTGTATATTATATCATAATATGTATGCATATATATATCATATCTAATGTTCTTTATGTTTGTTTGTATATTATATCATAATATGTATGTATATATATATATATCATATCTAATGTTCTTTATGTTTGTTTGTGTATATTATATCATAATATGTATGTATATATATATATCATATCTAATGTTCTTTATGTTTGTTTGTGTATATTATATCATAATATGTATGTATATATATATATATACATCATATCTAATGTTCTTTATGTTTGTTTGTATATTATATCATAACATGTATGTATATATATATAAGGTCTCCGGTTCCACACCTTTTTCTTGCTATTCGGGCACTGCGTGAGTACCTTACACAGCTTTCTGCACCTCAAGTTGTTTCAAGAGAGGGCAGGAAGGTGACACCCATTCTATGGCGAGCTTCTCAATGGGCTGGGTAGTTGTCCAACGGGTCGGGTTGACTTGAGAGCAAGATGCAAGAGGATCACCATCGAACTTAAGGCATCAAGGTCTCCGGTTCCACACCTTTTTCTTGCTATTCGGGCACTGCGTGAGTACCTTACACAGCTTTCTGCACCTCAAGTTGTTTCAAGAGAGGGCAGGAAGGTGACACCCACATTTCCCATCAAATCCTTGTAACTTGCTCGCGCCATAGAATATACCACACATTTGTCGGAATCTCCGCAAGCCAAAATTGCTCAGCGCCATTCAAAGCAGTAAGAAAGAAATCACACAGGTTGAAAATCTTTGCACGACCTGCGGCTGACACAGCAGAAAGATACTGAAAGGCAGAAATTTCTTGGATGTAACATTCCATTACTCGTTGGCTCACCCAACGCCCTCGGCGTCGTGTGAATTCAGAATCTTCTGTAACCTGGAGGACCCAAGTTGCGCCACCACCTCTAAGAGATCCTAAATCCAGGGATTTTCCATTGATCTTCACTTCTGTGCCAGTACCAAGCTCCATCATCACTGCCTTAAAACGCTGACGCAAAGTTTGACCCGATTTTGGCCATAGCTTCTGAGAAGGATGTAGTCTTGAGAAAGCCAAATGAACAACTCGAAGTAGGTCAGGAACATCTAGTTTAGCTGATTGATGCCTCGCCGCCGTGAAACGTGTCTTTGGTTCACGGAGAGCCAGCAGTGCAAAAGGGTTCGTATAGTTGGTGTCACACGGCAATAATAGGTCACCACGTGTTGCTTGAAGAAACTCTCCGACACGCAAAAGTGCGCCCCATGACAGGGCAAGCATACCTGCCAAGTCCGGCCAACCCCATATTAAGCAGATAGTTATCGCTGAGACCAAAACCTGCCAGGGCATTGCAATGTGATGCGTAGAGGGTTCTTCACGTACCCAAGCAAAAGCCAAGTTCCATGCCTCTTGAAGTTGACGCCTTATCACCGGTTTCCTAGCTGCAATTGCATTAATAGTCTCTGCAAAATGATTGTAGGGCCTTCCGGCTGAATAAAGGCATCGCCCATGTTAAACCAGGAGTCGATTCAAATGGTCAATCTCATAAAAATGATTTTCCAGCATAGCTTCCAAAGAAAAGCCTTGTCCCTGCAGCCAAACCTCAAATTGATTTATAAAGGTCTCCCTGTGCTGATTTGTCAGCCCTAAAACCGGTCTCCCGGACTGAAGCGGAGGTCGCCCTGAACGAAGTTGCTGTCTTCCCAAATCTCCAGCATTTCTCGGCACCAGAACGCCATGGCATAGGCACAGGTGCGCGACCGTTAAGAACCACCAACATTTAGGGGGTCTAATGCCAATGCCAACAAGGAAAGAGAAAGGCCCCTCGCCAGGAAATCCAAGGGTCTGATCAAAGTCCAAGACAGATTGGAATTGATAAGGTGGAACAATGTCACCCGACTGAGACAGCCCAAAAGGGAAGGCAGGCACACGAAAGACAGAGCGATCAGCACA